AGGATGATATATTTTGCTGTCCAATGCAGCACTGAATTTCAGTAACAAATATGACATAAATAGCCTTTCAAAAAGCTTCTTAGACAGTTGGACGAAAGGATACATTTAAAAATATTTCAGGAAAAGTTGAAACCTTTTACTTGGCATCAGTGATTTCCCTTGACTTGCATATACAAATGATCTCACCGCACACACTGTGTTTTAGTATATTCAAATGTAGCATGAGAACTTGATAAATGTTCCTGAACAGTAATAAGATCACAGAAGAAAGCCAGACATAGGCCTTTTTAACTAACTGTTTCAGAGCTGCCTCACCCCAACAAATGCATATGAGCACTATTCAAGCTAAGGGCCTATTTAGCCCAATGCAGTTGACGTTGACTAGAAGCAGTTCTCCAAGGCAATAGGAAGTGGTCTGGCCCAGCCCCGATACCTGAGAGACCAGGGACTGAACATGTGACTTTCTCCACACAAAGCATGTGCTGTACCACTGATTTCTGGACCATCTATACCTTGCATAAGATTTGGGTTGCCAGGTCTCCTGCTCTAACAACCTCCCACCAGCAACCCCCAGACCCTCAGTGGCACTCAGTAGGCCAGCAGGAGAAAAATTCAATTCAATTCAATTTATTACGGGTCTATATGACCGAAGTCTTGACCAAAAGAGAATGCAAAAGGGGTAAAATAGGTACATAAAATTGACACAGGAGAAAAATGAAGGGAACAAAAAGCCATCACAGCAACAGCATAAATTCTAGAGTGGTATGGCATCTTTTCTGTGTTTGACCCAGAAATGATGTCATGCCATTGCTGTGATGCCTCCCTCATGTCCCCGCCGTCCCCCTCCCCGTCTCCTGCCAGGTGCCAGCTACTGGCTGGCAAACCTCCAAAGGATACAATAGTAGTATATTAATAAATCATTCAACATCTCTAGCATTCTGTTCAGAAATAATGACACATACAGATTTCCATCTGTTGAGAATTATTGGTAGGTTCACTCTCTTTAGGGTGGTGGTAGGGAAGGAGGAAAGCAATGTGGCATTGGGCTATTGTTCTTATATACTCTATGAACCCAAGATTAAGTTCTTCATCATTTTGCATCAGAAAATTCTGACAATTTAATTTAGTATTTTTTTAATGTATCCTAACCATTAATCTTTACAAGACAATCTGGATATTGGTAAAGTAACAATCAACAGTTGCCTGAAATTACACCAGATACTTTGGACCAAAAATGGGGGCAAGCTAACCCAAAACAGAATGGAAGAATGTTCATCACAGGTACCATTAAATTCTACTGTGATGCAGTGCTGGCTTTGACATTAGCAATACATTAAAGCAGAGCAATTATTATAATACTAATAACATTTTCACAAAAATCCCAAACCTCTTGGCAACCATTACAATATTAGGATCTTGTTGCTGAAAAAACACACTATAATATAACTCTAACATTACAGACAAGGCATGTACAGTGGAATGCATGATTTAATTTGTCAAACTTTTAACCTTTTTTAACCATGACCATTTATCCATGCACTGGTCCCTGGTTTTCTTTTTAAACTGCACACTTATGGGCATTTTCTTACAAACAGATGTACTCATACATGCAGCAGATATATGCATTTACTTTAATGTGTATGCAGTGATAATATGTTCACACAATTCAGACTTCCAGCAACCTCTGATTCCTATACATGTTGACTTCACAACTAACTAGTTATTATTATTCATGACAAATAATGGAGCTTAATTCAGTGTATAGTGATAGCCACATATGACTGACTGGGCAGAGGGAGTAAGAGGACATATTCTGCTGTCTCATGCAACGATCACAAGTTTAGATGCCTGTGTGAATCAGCACAATTCTTCCTGTGATAGATTCCCCACTTAATGCTGATTATGCCAAAATGGCTTGTAGCCTGATTCATAACAGACTAAAAGGGAGGGAAATATTCTATTATTCCCCATGTTAATTTTTAAAGAGTGTTTATACTCAATATGCCCATATTTTCAGCAGTCTTCCCATTTTTTTCTGCACAACCTGATATGTTTATGACATTTTCTTTACTAAGAAAAAAAAAAGCCAGATGTGGCATATGCATGATGCTCTGAATAAGGGAATGAAATAAAGTAATTTGCTATGATGTTAGCACAGGAAATGCCTGGGAGCTGCATCTGACTTAAGTGTTTTGGGATTCCCAAGCAGTGATTGTTCTCCAAGGATCTGTGTTCATGAATTACCATGGACACCAAATGTTATTTCAGATCATGTTTTGACTAAGGATAATCAATAATGCCTATCTAGGAGCAGAAGGTGATTTAGTCACACCACCTGGCTAATTGTCCTTGACCATTTTACAGTCCCCATTTACTTCCTATGGATTCCTAACCCCACCAACCTGTGTGTTCATTAGATGGCTACTATAGTATGGCTACTGAACTCCTGTAAATGAAATGCTGCAGTTGCGATCTACCTGCAAAATTTGTTTAAGATCAAAGGAAGGGATTCATGGACCAGATCAGTTTCTATGAGGATCAGGTGCTCCAAACCATCCATCTTACTTATTTATTGAATGTATGTTATTTATAGTCTGCCTTTCTTATGGAGACTCAAGGAGGACTGCACAATGTAAACTTGTGCTTGCAGAAGCTGGTGCATTTTATCTGCCAACACTTCACTGTTCACATTAGTAGATAACTTGCAATGCCATCCTAAAGATTCTTCATTGATTTCAATGGACTTATACGGTTTAGGATGGCACTGCAAGTCTTGCAAATAGTATGACAAGATATCTACCTAAAAACATTTACTAGCCTGACTGAACACATACACACGTTTTGACAATTTGGAGCCTAAAATAAATTTTAAAAGCCAACATTTCAAAGCTGCCATGCTTGATCACCCAGACATGATTCCTACTTGCTACCAGAGAACAGGCTATTTACAAGCCAGATTTCAATGTACAAGTGAGCCACCTGAGATAACACATGGACCAGCATTGACCAACACTTATCCCAAGATGAAAGTAAGTTAAGTCCATAAATATCTAGAAGATCTATTCTTCACAAAGGGCTCACGACAGCATCAAATAATACAACTAAAACAAAGAGGGAGTAAAGTAAGGTTGCCAGGTCCCCCCCGGCCACCAGTGGGGCATGGGGTTAGGGTTGCCAGATCAAGGTTGAGAAATTCCTAGAGATTTGAGGATGGATCCTAGGGAGGACAGGGAGCTCAGTGGGGTACAATGCCATAGAGTCCACCTCCAAAACATCCACTTTTTCCAGGGGAAATGATCTCTGTAGTCTGGATATGAGCTGTAATTCCAGGGGATCCCCAGGTCCCACCTGGAGGCTGACATCCCTTGTTGAAGTGAACTGATCATGTAAACCAACGTCACTTCATAAGCCTACAAAAGTTATGAGCCCACAAAAATTATTACTAGCTTATTTTCTGACACATACCCACTTAAGTGATGTGTGAGATATGGGTGATATGAAAGAGAAAAACAAAACTATCTCTCTTCTAGTTTACAAAAGGTTTCATTCTTGGAAGCGATTCTTCCTTCACCATATACATCCTTGACAGAGACTATGTATTCAAGCTTGATATAAACAAGCACCAAGTTGCCAGCTATGGTCACTGGACACAAAGGAGTTTCAACTCTAGCCTAGAATGGACAGGACACAACCATGAGAGACTATCATAGATACTATCATAGAAAGACTTATCTTTTTGGGAAAGTTTGGGTTTAAAACTACTTCAAATTGTTGTGATTTCAAAAAAACAAACAAATGATTATGGTGATTACGATATTTATCTGCTGTTGATAAAAAGTTGGGCAACTCAGAGACATCCCATATTACCGTCTTTATATTCTTTTTTCTTTGCAGTGGTGATTGAGTAGGTGTGACAAGTTACACGCAAGGAAGCAGTGACTGGGCTGGTGCTTTCAAGACCCCATGGACCCCAGGTAAAAAGTTCCCGTGCCCCCAGAGGGCATCACAGTATTTCACAAATCCCAAGAAAGTGAGAGGACAATGGTCGGAGGGCAGCATCCCGAGACTTTTAAAATAAAGTATGTTGCCAAGTAGCATAATTCAATGACAACACCTTGGCTCAACAGTTTAGGCACCTATGACTTCCAAGCCGTACAAAGTCCACATGTCAGCTAAGGAGATCCCAGAAGCAGCAATCATATCTTAAAAATATATCTTCATGACAATAACATTACCCATTTAGGGAGAAATCTTAAGACACTATCTTAATTGACATGGAGGGTAACCAACACAACTGCCACGACATACCTGGAAACATCCATTCACTAGTCAAAATAAGAATCAAGAATTTGCTTTTCTCATTCTATAGAAACCAAGCATTGTTGAAGATTCCACTACTTGACTGAAACAGCAACACTAGTACATTTTAATTAAAATAACAAAAGACATAAATATAATCCCTAACTTGCAATTTATCTGAGGGTAGCATCCTATGTAAGATATTCCTTCCTGGGATATACCAAAAGTGGGAAAGGGAAATGAACCAACAACCCTTGCACCCATTTTCTACCCCTTTCTATAACATGTGACACTGACACTAATACAGACGACAGACTCCTATGCCAGATGCATTTGCTTAGCCTATCAGAGTCAAACTGTTGATCATTGAGCTATCACATGATTCTTCTTTGTCTGTGCTACTACATACTACCCTGGCTACCACTACAGAATTTATAAATGGTGCTTCTAAATCTTCTAACTAGATACAATTTTAATTCTAAAAAAGGATGCAGGAGAGATAATCCCTCCAATAAGATATACCCTGGCCTTTCTGAAAATACCCTGCTCTACCCTTGCCTTCAAAATACAAGTACATAATTTACAAACCCATTAACAGCAATATAAATGGACACTACCTATACTCAACAGCTTTACGGATTACAACTGTTTCAAGCATCAATTTTGCTTAGCCTTGGAAAATAATGTTAATATTTACTCACTTTCAATGAATCAAAGCAGGCGATTACTCGTCCATTTTCAACTTGGCAGCTTTTCGATGGATGTGCAAATTTACATTCCGTATCTGGTCTTGAGCAAGTCCCTCTTTGGAACTCTCGACACACTTCCAGTGTTAGCCATTTTGTGTCCCGGATTGGTGTGACACTTACAGCCATGTTTTTAGATTTTACAGGTAGTTAAAATTGTCAATGAAACAAACGACGACAAAAAAAAGAGAGGCCAAACTGATAAAACGGGAAATGATGAAAAATGTCACCTCCAAAATACTTCCCCAAGCCCCAAGCCCAGCGTTTAAAAGAAGATGTAAAATTGTGTTCTCACAACAGCAAGGAAAGATTTCCCACTATTAAGTCACAGCATGAAACTGTCAATCAAAAGAGAGGGAGGGTTGTACTTAAAGAAATGCTAAGATCACAGATAAAATGAGCATTTAAAATTGTGGCCTAGAACTAGCCTTGTGCTCTCAGTAACCCATTCTGAGTGCCAAAATGCAAGACACAAAATGTGGCGGACCCCTTCAACACCGATTTTCCAAGCTGCTCTCAGGAAAAGTTGTCTGAAACGTAATCTCCACACAGCTGAATTTGCAATATTTTTTTTTTGGTGTGGTGCAATCAGTATTGATTAGTTTGGCACAGACAGATGCAGCAGTTTAGAGCAACAAATCGAGAAATGATTTCTCCTCTCTTTGATTTTTTTTTCTGGCAGAAGATAGATCTCACTTTTCCAGCAAACTTTTTTATTTCTATGAGAATAAACTAAAGCAGCCTAGGTGCAAATGCCTGATGCTTAGAGCTTTCTCTCTCGGCATATAAGTAGAAATGAGGAGGGGGGGTGGCTGGGCTAGAGGTGGAAGGCTGGTTGTGCTGTCGTCGCAGTCTAGCTGGCAGCAAGCAAGGCAAAAAGCAGAGACTGCTCTAGAAGCGGTTCCAAGCAGCAGAGACGTCAGGAAAGGCACTTCTTTAGTACCAACCTGTAGAGAAAACAGATACGTTAAAATTTACCAGGCAGCATTTCACTGATGTCTCAACACATAATTATGTTGCCATGTGCTCCCTCAGTCTACTACCACACAGAAACGATACTTTTTTCGGTCTCAAGCAAAAAAAAAAAATACTTACGTTGGAGCATATTGCAGCCAGCCATCGCAGATTTATTAAAAAGGGGTCTGTTTTCCCCTTCTGAAGCAATTCATGATAGGGGAGATAACCAATCACAAGACAGTATTGCAGCAATATTCTGGGCACCGAGCCAATAACGGGGGCTGTCGTACGAAAGGTCGCGCCTGTCAGACATTCATTACTATGCTATAAGCACAGAAAATGTCCATCAGATGCGACTTATTCGACTGCAAGGGAACGACCATGTGGGTTTTGAATTTACCCAACATGCAGTTAGTGGATTAAACCATGTTAGTTTTCAAACAGCTTCCAACTCAAGCACAAGTGCCTGTGGAGTCCAGACGGAGGGAGGGGAGGGGAAGGGAAAGGAGTTTGTGAGCCACTCTGAGACTCCCCATCTGCGAATCATTTTCTAGACTGCTTTCTTCCAGCTTTGCATTGCGCACAGCAAGCACAGAGCACGCCTACTGTATCTGACAGATGAATATAAAAGGAAAAGGGGTGTTCACAGATGGTACAGTCTCCTGACCTATCCAATTCACTTCCTTCTACTCCGTAAGTCCTGCCTCCTCCTCAACAGAAAGCAGCACTTTTTTTAGAACTAGGAAAACTATTCTGTTCTGTCAGCACAGACGCTGCCAGCATATCCTAGGCAGGTTAGGTATGGAGAAAAATACCTTCCCCCACTCTTCCCCAAAGCAAAACCCAGGTCTCAGGAGGGGAAGTAGGATTTGTCCTGCTGTCAGGGAGCCTAACATTACACAAGTCATGCTCAGATTGCAACATGATTCTTTCTCAGTGACCTTAAAAACCTGAGCCTGCAATCAAATTTAAATATGATCAATGCTTCTGAATTCAAGCAATAGTATCAGCAAATGCCTACCGATTCTGAGCCTCAGACACAAGCAAAAGCTGTTCTCCTGAGCGGCTTACATCTTTAAAATGGCTTCTTTATGTGAGCAGTTTGCTTTGCATTAAACTAGTCAGAACAGTCTTTGCCAGAAAAAAAAGGATGAAGATGGTAATGATTATTATTCAGAGAAGCAAACAACTGCGGTATTTCTTGGCCCTTGGGAAACAGAAGAGCTATTGTAAATTTTATAAACCAAATTAATTTGAGACAGGTTCACAAGCTGGAATTCTTTTATTCTCCTTCAGTTTACACTGCATAATCACGACTCCCTGAGTTCACCATTTAGGGTGTGCTCGATCAGCTCTTAGCCTCCTCAGCCCTTGACAACTAAGATGACTAATTCAGGAAAAAGAATGGGATGTGTGGATATTTTTAAATATTTGATACTTATTTATGAAAATGCTTCATTAAATGCACTTCAGATTAGCATTCATGAAAGCCAAGAAACAAAAACTATGAAACAATTAGAAGATGGGTGTTTCCAGCATATTTATTCCAACAAATTGTGCTAGTGTAAGCTGACAAAATAAAAGTTGAAGTGCTAGATTCCAGTCCAGTAGTGCCTTAAAAACCAACATGATTTTCAGGGTATAAGCTTCCAAGAGTCAAAGGTCCCATCATCAAATACTTGATGACCTATATGATAAAGGGAACGCTGAATCTCAAAAGCTTATATACCTTGAAGATTTTGTATGTTTCTAGGTGGTACTAGACTAGGTAGTCTTCTGCTGCAGACCAACATGGCTACCCTCTGAACATAAAAGCTGGTATATTTTTGCATGTTCTTTTTTTAGTTGATATCTCTGTAGAATCATAGAATCACAGAGTTGGAAGGGGCCATACAGGCCATCTAGTCCAACCCCCTGCTCAATGCAGGATCAGCCTAGAGCATCCCTGACAAGTGTTTGTCCAGCCTCTGCTTAAAGACTGCCAGTGAGGGGGACATAGCCTCTGGGTTCAATCCTATTCTGCTGGCATCAGCATACCCCTCCAGTGCCAAAAAGCTTCCTGCATGGGTGGGCAAGCCTGTTGTGTCAACAGAAGGCTCTCTCTGTACTAGTGGGACATCCTGGTGCCAGAAGAACATGCTGAAACTAGTGGAATAGAATGGTAAAATCCAACCTATAGGCCTCCAACCTATAGGCCTGTATCCTACTACTCTATTCAGTAAAGCCTTCTTCCAGCCAAGGAGCCTTCTGCTAGAGGAAGACCCATTTCTGCCAGGGGAAGGCTCCTTTGCTTTCCAATGCATTTGAAAGAGTGAAAATGCACACGAAAGGTCATACCTTGAATAAGCCTTTGTTGGTCTTAAAGGTGCCACTGGACTCTAAATTTTGTTCTTTGCTGATACAGGTCACAGCGAGTAGGCACTGACTTAATCAGTCAGGTATGTCACTGGAATCTGGCCCATGAAAGCAGGCTACATTCCAGACTTAGGAACATGGAGCACTCCTACAATCATTAATGCTCAATGGAATCACCATTTTACCCTCTTCGGAACAGGGAATAGAAACTGTGCTTTCACGAAGGATTCTATCAGAACTGCTACAGTGAATCAATTTATCTGCATTACCATTTATTTATTTATTTGCTTTATTTCTGGCTCACCTTTCTCACTGAGACTCAAGGCAGATTTAAAAATATAAACGGTATTGTGAATAAGAAATTTCTAATGGAATAACTATTCCCATGTATGGCAATCCCACTTTGTTGAGGGTATCTGCCAATGTGGCAGTCTTTTATTTTTATCCCACAGTATGCCAAATGACACATACATTGTTCCATGTTAAACCAGATCACGTTCTAGCAAGGACACTGTATAATTTTCCAGACAAATTTCTGAAAAAATGTTCCAGTTCCAACTTTTCTAGAAAACCCATATCATTGAATTGCTCTAACTCTGTGATTCTATGATTCTTCAAGATGATAGGTCCACTAAAACAATGATGGGGGGGGACTGTATTTATTGCCACCAGAGAACCATAAATGCCTACAAGAAAATGAATATGGTACTGTTAATTTTAAATGAATCCTCAATATTCTACAGCATATAACAGAACTCTAAAATAAGCTAAAAGAAACACTGTTTCACAGTCTGCGTTTCTCCACCATCAGTCATTAGGTACAACAAATAACAGTATGTCTATATATTGTGTCAGAAGAGAATGACTGATGAAAAAACCAGCTCCATGTATTGCAACACTGATTTTCTGAAAATATGCACTCTAGACAAGATAATATATTCCTGGCAATGATAAGATGGTAACAGCAACAAGGATAGTGGCATGAACAAATCCCATGAAGACCACCTAAATATACAAAGAAATGTAAGAGCACTGCTGGTTGACTGAGGTTCTTTCATGCACAGCAGATCATTACCAACAATAATCAGACAGATGCCCCAAGGAAGCCAACAAGTAGAATGTAAGGGCAACAAGCCCCCCACCATTTGCCTGCCATCAACAGGCACTCAACACTTTAACCAGCAGCCTAACTGGAGTTTCTTCCTGCCAAAATCAAGTTGGCTAAAAATCACTGCCCATGCAGGCTCATGTTCAGCATGTGCTCTGCCAACTGCATTGGTTACTGGTTGAGTTCCAGATTCACTTCAAGGTTTTGGTAATAACCTTCAAAGCCTTACACAGCCTGGGACCAACATATCTGAGGGACCGCCTCTTCCTATATATGAGCTGCAATCATAAATTTTAATGTTTATTATTGTCTTTTACATTTTTAACTTACCAGCCCTGAGCCCGCTTGCAGGATTGGTGGGCTATAAATACGAAAATTAAATAAACAGATAAATAAGACAGCTCAAACTGGACTGACTGAAGCTCAAAAATAACTACATATCATTTTAAATCTACAACTATCTTAAGAAGGTTATCACATCGAGCCAGATCCAAAATTAGTTTATAGAGGGCCAAACTAGACATTTGCCATTTTAGAGAAGAATTTAGCCATTTAAAAGTGTTGTGACGGCCCAAATGTTATTGGACCTGTAGCACAGTGGGATCAGGTAATCTTGTTCCCCCATACACATGCCTTTTCAAGTGCCAAAACAGCTGCTGGGGGGCAGGCCAAATTCTTATCTAAAATGGTGTTGGCAGCCACAGGTCAAATCTGTGGCTACCATAATGTCCAGTTTGGCTCAGAGATAAAGTGGTCCAAGAATTCAGTTTCAGTATATTTAAAATACCTTACTATATCCTTTGATTCATGTTCAGTTCTGTTTAATTTACACAGATATTAATTAATTAAAATGCTAGAAAAATCAGCCGCTCTAGTTCTCAAGGTATGATTTTAAAAAACCCCATAAATTCCTCCTTAGCCCTACTCCCTCATCATCTCATTTAAAGCATATCAGCTTTCTACCTCCAAAACTGTAACAGCTCAGGAGCACACGCACACACCTTTTTTTTAAGCTTTGGTCTTTTAATCATGCATGTCTGTTCATTTCCAAACCTGGGATAAAAATGAGGACTGGCTCTATTCTTACTTTTACTATTGTGATGGTTGATACATGGTTTTCCCCAACCCAGTCTCACTGGGACAAAATCTGAAAACCCCCATAGCTATAAATATCTAATTGACATAACTGGGAAGTGAAGGTTCTACCATCATGAAGATCTGCTAACAGGCCTGTTCTGGTCTGATGTTAGCAACCTGGGCAAGAAGTAACAGAAAGACTTGTGAGCATTTACTACACTTGAAGAGGGACTGCATGCAAAATAAATGTAAATTAGCAGTTTAGGTCTGCCTGAAGCAGCATCTTCTCTTTCCGTGCTCAAAGTGATTTGACCTCCTGATTTCTCTTACTACGTCATATGTGGATTGCTCTCCATTTTCAGTTATGCAGAGATACCGAGGTTGCCAGCAGAGACAGAGAAGGTGGGCTGAGCGCAGAGCACAATTAAAGAGGGTCATGTGGAGAGGGCATGAAACTGTGTTACACAACGCAAATTTTACAACTGAACCTGGATTTTTTCCAAGGCAATATACTGCAATTCCAGTCAAAATTTAGCCAGCATAATATATCTCAGGCATTGCATTATTCTGTTGACTATCTTCACTGACATCTGTATCGGTTTCCTAAATCTCATAGCACGATACCTTATGGGCAGTATGTGTCATCACAACCATTTTTCTCCCATTGTAATAGGTAGGAGTGACACTAAAATGCTTAAGCTGGAATGGTTATGGGTCCAAGCTGACAAGTCTTACTATAAGTTACATGGAAAAAGCCTGGAGTACAAAATACCCTCGGATGTCAGTTTCAGAGGGTATCCATATTGGTCTGCAGTAGAAGAGCTAAATTTGAGTCCACTGAAATCAGAGAAATGGAAAGGTTTAAGTCCAGTAGAACCATAAAAACCAATAAAATGTTTAGGGTATAAGATGGTGGGAATGAAAGGTATCTGACGAAGGGAGC